AATCATTTTGCTTTTTTTTTAAAAAAAAAAAAACCATTACGTTTAACTTCTGAACAGGGAAAAAATAGTTTTGCACAACCGTATTAGCAAAACAATATAGCATAACCACTAAATTATTAATTAAACTAATAAAAAGGTTTTTAAAAATCAAGGTCTTTTAAAAGGGTTATGCCCTTTTCCTACAGCATATTGCTAAATATTTTTCATGTTTTTGTTGCTTCAAAAGTGGACGAGATGGTGCAGATTGGAAGAAATCTAAAGAAACAAATTTAAAAAAAAGCTTAGTTTGGTGGCAACTGGCATTAGTTTCCCTCTGAAATATCTACACTCACTCCCCCCCCCCCTTCAAATACTATCGAGAGCAGAATACGATTGCATGGTTAAATAATCATAAATTCTATACTATGCTGTTCAGGAGAGGTCTGTAGCAGGGATTTAAAATGCTTTGCTAATGTATCACAACTATTTCCTGACCTAGTTTAGAACTAAGCCTAGACATGATCTAGAACTGTGCTGGTGAAACTATGGCACGCGTGCCATCGCCAGCTGCTCTTCCAATTTGTGGTGCACACATGTGCACCGGACAGGTGGTCTTCATGGATGCCGGAGTGCCGGAAAACAGCCTGAAAATGGCCCAAAAAACAGGGGGGGGGGGAATAGGCTGTTTGGGGGGCATTTGTGGGCCATTTTCAGGCCATTTTCTGGCTGAAAAAGCACCCTGAAAATGGCCTGAAAAATGAACTGAACATGGCCCGAAAAACGACCTGAAAAAGGCCAAAATAAATAAATAAATAAGACCAGCCAAAAATAGCCAAAAAACCAGGCATGTATGCAACGGTCAGCTGGTCTTCAGGTTGATAGCGCTCCGTCACATGCATGTGTGTTCCGGTTTGGGCACTCGGTACTGAAAAGGTTCGGCATCACTGTTATAGAAGAACATAAGTCAATTATGTATTATTATTTTTCCAGGTGCTGATATCGAGATATAAAAACATGAAGAGGAATTTCGCTGACAGTTCTTTGATCCGTAGTACAGCAGGTATCCACCTTTAACTGGGCTGGAATTTGAAAGAGTTATTATAATTCCCAAACCGATGACCAGCAAGATGAGTGGAGTGAGCAATATTATTTAGGGCTTTAGGTTGCAGTGTGTGGGAAAAATGGATCAAAAGCCTCCCCTATAGCATCCCATTAAAAGCCAGGGGACATTCCTGTAATACTTAAAACTTAAACTTAAACTTAAACTTAAACTTAACTTAAACTTAAACTTAATACAGGTAGTCCTTGACTTATAGCCCCAACTGAATTCATTGCTAAGCATGGTGATTGTTAAACCAGTCATGCTTGATATTTTTTTTTACCACCTTTTCAAAACCACGTTTGGAATGGAATCACTGCAGTTGTTAAATGAGTCAGACGGTTGTTAAGCGATTTCCATTTCTCCATTGCGTTTGCTTGTCAGAAGCTGGCTGGGAAGGTCAAAAATGGTGACCATATGACCCAGGGACACTGTGACGTTTGCCAAGCAACCAAATTTTGATCACCTGACGCTTGAGGATATTGTGATAGTTGTAATTGTGAGGATTGGTCATAAGTCTTTTTCTTTTTTTTTTACTGGGGTTGTTTCTATGAAAGGTTCCTAAACGAATGGATATAAGTTGAGGACTATCTGTATTTCTCCCATTCTTGATACTTTTACAATACTTGGAAGGATAGAGCTGGAAGGGACCTTGGAGATCTTCTAGTCCAGCCCCCTGCTCAAAACAGGAAACCCTATACCATTTTCCCTAGGGGAAGAAATCCTGATAAACACATTGCACATTGTTTTCAAATTGTGTTAAATCTCTCTCCAGGAGCATCAAAAAGGTTTAGGTTTACGTTTAGGTTTATTAGATTTATATGCCACCCTTCTCCCAAGGACTCAGGGCGGCGTACAACATTAAAAGAAACACATAATACAAAAGTTTAAAAAAAGTTAAATAGAATATCCCAAACAAATCCAATTAGAATTGACAATAACATTTTTTTTAAAAAAATCGAATTAAAATTAACAATGATCAATAATTTATTTTGTTTTGTTCAGGCCAGGCTTAAAGTCAAAATGGTGGCTGTGATTGTATCATTAAAACCCAGACTCTTTTTTTAATCTTTGCAACACACATAAAAAGGGAACTGGGACTTCAATGTACCTTTTTTAAACACATCCACACCACTTAAGGGGATGCCCCACCAGAATTTACCCCCCCTTACGTGTAATCCAGAAAAATGATGCACTCAATTCTTACTTTATCATATTTTTCATTGGTGGAATAAGAAGTGTTCTCTGAGTAGATTTCATGCATTGATCAATATTAACGTCAAACTACTCTACTTCCTCTGCTATTAAAATATGCCAGAAAGGAGGAGGTAAGGTCTTAAAAAATGGAGAGCCTTAACCATTATAATAAACCTTTATGAAAAATTCAAAGTGATTTTTTTTCCCATTTCTTCCAACCAACCATTATCTCTCCCCTCCCTTCATTTGCCTCTTATACGAAGACCATCAGACAAATTTGCAGACAGGGATCACTCTCTTGATTATTCTTTGTGCAATCCTTAAAAACAAATTCACTTTGTGTTGGTTGATTGATGGGATAGGGGGATATTCAGCACAAATTCCGAGGATACCTTTAAAGGGAACAACAGCAATAACGGCTACAACGATATCAGCAATAAAACAATGCAATAAGCCCGCATGGGCTGCAGCCCCCCAATAAAACCTGACCAAAGCATAAATCAGCGATGAGGATAATTATGGAGGTGTTGAAAATGCCTAGGCAGATAAGAAAAAGATTTTTGCCTGGTGCCAGAAATGATAATCAGAAAGGACACCTTCTCAATAGACATTAATAATACTGATAAAATTGAATTGGTAGTATGGGAGGTCCAGAGTTCCATGGAGCGAGGATGCTTTAGTCATCTTTGATCAAGGTCAGACAGAAATGATAAATTAGGCAGATACATATAAGCAAATTAATTCAGATACCGAAGGTTTTTAATGAGTTGCTATGAAGAGTTCTGTACAGATCCTTTATATCTGCTGAATGGACAAGATTCCAGATGTGGAGCAGTTCTCCAAACAGGGATGCACATCTTTCTGATGAATGAGCTGCAGTGTGCCTCTGTCACACCACCACTGCACATTCAAGCAAATTGCATATTAGGATACATTGCTTGTGCTTCTGAATATACAGTTAGTCTTCAACTTATGACCACAATTGTGCCCAATTTTTTTCTTGCAAGCAATAAAGGTTGTTAAGAGAATATGACCTTTCATGCCACAGTTGTTAAGTGAATGACTGCAGTTGTTAAGTTAGTAATACCGTTGTTAAGTGAATCTGGCTTCTCCATGGGCTTTGCTTGTCAGAGGGTTGCAAAACGTGATCACATGAACCTGGGACACTACAATTGTCATAAGTATGAGACAGTTGCAAGCATCTGAATTTTAATCACATGAAGATGCTGCAACGTTCATAAGTGTGGAAAACTGTCATAAGTCAGTTTTTTCAGTGTTGTTATAACTTTGAATGGTCCCTAAATAAACTGTTGTAAGTCAAGGACTACCTGTTTATATTACTGCACCAAAAGCACTAATAATTTAATAATTGTGCCTTATATTGCCACTTCAAATCTTAGGCTGTCTTCCAGTCCCACTCTTCAATCAGAAAAAAAGGATCAAACAACCACTCACATCAAATCCGCTTAAAAATGAGCCAAGCAGTAACAATTCAGCTGATCATTTCAATTTCTCAGCCTTGCTTGCAGGTAAGTAGTGGACTGTTCGCTTTTTAATATATCCTTTCGTCACAAAAAAATATTTTTCTACCCTCTGGTTAAAATTTCTGGATACACCAGAATAAATCCCTTATGAATTCCATAGAAGACTGGCATTTAAATTATATATCTTGTAACTTTGCCTTTTTCCCCTTCGTTTTTAACAGTTAAAATTCCAGGTCTATATGTTACACAGGAAGGAATATTCCTTAATGTGCTTTTGTATTAATGCTAAAGGACATATTTATCCTTTTCTTTAGCTTGAAAAGCTGTCTGTGCACATTTCTGCCAGAATTAATTATTGGAATAATAATTAGTTCCATTCTTATTGAGAGAGAATGGGAAAAGTGAAACGTTTCCACTTTTCATTTGCCTTATGTCTCTCAAAAGCATATTTGAAAAATGTAGATGTACTGTATAATAGGACAACTATAAATATAAGTGCAAACCTAGCTTTTTTCAAATGGATGTTCACTCATATTCCATCCATGCCTTAAGTAAAAATTGGAGCTCAAAGATTATACAAGCACCATCTTATAAAATACTTTATTTAGAGAATTTGGTCTGTTATGAGTTATTAGCCATGTTTACACGCGGGGTTTTCCCCCGAATTCCAGAAACTGGGGATAAACAATATGAAATACATAATAACAGAGTTGGAAGGGACCTTGGAGATCTTCTAGTCCAATCCCCTGCTTGAGCAGGAGACCCATTCCAGACAAATGGTTGTCCAGTCTCTTCTTAAAAAATCTCCAGTGTTGGAGCACCCACAACTTCTGGAGACAAGCTGATTAATTGTTCTCACTGTTAGGAAGTTTCTCCTTAGTTCTAGGTTGCTTCTCTCTCTAATTAGTTCCCATCCATCGCTTCTTGTTCTGCCTTCAGGTGCTTTGGAGAATAGGTTTTCTCCCTCTTCTTTGTGGTAGCCCCTCAGATACTGGAACACAGTATCTTTTCACTAGATTAGACATAGCCAATTCCTGCAATTATCAGCATATTATTGTTTTAATATAGAATTGGATTGAATGGCTAGCAATGGAGAGTGTGGAATTATCCAGATCTTTAAGTTTGATCCAGTAAAACATTTCATCATAAGAGTCCTTTAAAAGTTAGACATCCTTTCTCATCCAGATACCGTCCAGATGGTTTATCTCTTTGGGATGGGAATTCTTGTAATTACAGTCACATCTTCTCTGAAGCGCTTCAGATTAGAGACGGATGCATTAAAGCAAACACTTCTGAATAAATCTGTGAAAGCGTGGCTGGCAGATAAGCCTTGCTGGAAATAGAATAAAGCATATAGCAGAGGCGCCACCGCTGGATCTATTCCCTTAAAGCTGTGTTTTGCAACTTCAGCAGCTTTAAGATGTATGGACTTCAAATTCCCAGAATTCTCCAGCCCTCCATACAGGGAGTTCTGGGAGTTGAAGTCCACGTAGTTAATGAAATCAAGAGATACTTCCTCAAAACTTAGGTAATCAAGAATTCAGAAGCAGAGCACCAAATCACAAGGAATAACTTAACCATGCACAGATAACACAGCCCACGTTTTCTCTCTTAATATCCCAAATTGGATCAGGATCTTAATTCAAATTGATCATTCTGTGTCCTTTTTTTTCCAGATTTCGGATGGGAAACTGAG